AAGGCCTATAGGTGGCTTGTTGAATCTAGGCTCTTTGTGATCCCACGCACTCCCATATGCCTCTGAGTGATCCTACGACCGAAACAGATCCGACCTGCCTTACCTGCGCCGTTACAATAACGTGCCTTAAAGTACAATATCTAATTAATAGGCTAGAAAGCGCCCCTAACGCGACTATAAACTGAATTCAAAGCGCCTAAATAAGTTAGAAGAGGAGGCTATTATTAGACGTATTTTTAAAGAGTCTGCGCGTGGATTTGCCCCTACAAAGGCTGAGGTTTGAGCAATAGCTAATAAACTGTTAGAGGAGCGTGGTGGCAACCCTATTGGCAAGAATTGGGTTGACAACTTTGTTAGGCGGACTGCTGAGCTCCGTACGCGCTGGAGCCGTCCCTATGATCACTAGCGAGCCGCCTGCGAGGACCCAGTGGCTATCCAGCGCTGGTTTGACTTAGTCCAGGCGACAAGGTAGAAGTGGGGTATTGTGGACGACGATATCTACAACTTTAACGAAACTAGCTTTATAATAGGCAAGATTTTATTATAGTTATTAATCACAGCATTAGAAGGATATAGGAAAAAGAAGCGAATACAGGTAGGCAACCGTGAGTGGGTTACTATAATCTAAGGCGTGGGCGCGTCAGGTCGCTAGATACCACTGTTCGTTGTCTTTGCGGGTAAGGTGCTTATTAACGTCTAGTTTAAGAATTTGCCTACTAACTAGGTTCTTAAAGTTAGTCCTAATAGCTAGACGAATAATTAGCTTAGTCTTGCCTAGTTAGAGCACTTTAATACCTATACAAAGAGCTCTACTGTGGGTGGGTATCGATTACTTATTATTAACGGCCATAAGAGCCACTGCTCTATCGAATTTTAAGATCTTTGCAAGGAGAAGAATATTATTCTTCTCTGCATGCCTCCACACTCGTCTCACCTGTTGCAGCCCCTTGACGTCGCCTGCTTCTCGCCATTGAAGCGCAAGTATGGCGACGCTGTTTTAGGCTTAGCACGCAACCGCACCCACTATATCAGCAAGAAGACCTTCCTACTAGCCTTTAAGGCTGCTTTTGAGCAGTCTATTATAAAGAAGAATATCCAAGCTAGCTTTAGAGGCGCTAGTCTAGTCCCACATAACCCACAGGCTGTGCTATCTAAGCTTGATGTAGTGGTGCAGACGCCAGTACAATCACCACGACGGACAGCCGCCTGGCAGGCGCAGACACCACGCAACGCGCGCGAGGTTAAGGCTTAAAGTACTCTTATTTAACAGAGAGTAAGAAACCGCCCTAGGTCTTCTGCAAATTCTCTTAACAAGAAGGTTATATAGCTAAGTAAAGGGGCTTAGCAAATAGCACATGAGATAACGCTTATAAGGGAGGAAGTAGCTGCTCTTTAAGAGGCTCTAGACACAGCAAATAAGCGTAAGAGCCGCAAGCGGCGATACGTACAAACAGAAGAGACTCTTACTATAGGCGAAGTACAAGAAGTATTAGCTAAACAGGCGGGTAGCAGTCGTGGTGATGGTGAGAGTGCGTCGAAGAGGGTGCGAGGAGAGCGGCGGTGCGGGCGTTGCAAGCAGACTAGACACAACGCTCGTACCTGCGCAGTTAAGATAGATAGTGTAAGTGATAGTAGCGATTCTAATAATTAATTTAGTATATTGCAATAGTTTATTAACTGTAATAAAAGACTGTGATAACGTGTCAACGTCAACGCGCTGGTGGGGAGTGACCGACTCGCTTGGGTGACCGACTCGCTTATGAACCACGTTAACAATGTTATAGTAGGTTTTAAGTTCCTTACTTAGGTAAGCCGCTCTATCTACAAAAAGCTTAGCCTATACACGCATCTTCTACTAAGTGTATTATTTATAGGTA